TTCCGGAATGGAGCCGTGTCTTGAATCAGCGATATGCCGACGTTTCGCAAAGGGAACGCTAATTGATCAGGTGGTCAATTAAAATACACTGATTGGCTGGATTCAAGCCTCGTCCCCTACTCCCTAAACACCATCTACACAAAAGGGGGGGAGGGGGGCATATAAGGACTACCTTTACCCAAGGGAGCTCAGTATCAGAGTTCTCAGCCCTGATGATGCAAACTGCAACGTTTGCGAAACGTCGGCATATCGCTGATTCAAGACACGGCTCCATTCCGGAAGCTATACCTAGACATTGTATCAATGGCCGTGAAAGCCTCAAATCTAATGTATTAAATACTTTTTTTTATTCTATTATCTATTATTATTTCTATCATCTATTATCATCTATTATTATTTTTATTATCTGTGCATTTTTATTAGATCAACTGATGAACAAATAAAGCATTAATAAGAAAAAATTTTTTGTAATATTGTGTGTGGTGTATGCGTGTGTGTGTGTGTGTGTGTGTGTGTGTGTGTGTGTGTGTGTGTGTGTGTATGTGTGTTTTTTTTTAAGTGGAAGTCAATCGTTCGGGAAATGATTAGAGATCCAAAACCAAGAAAGGTTAGTATAAACATAAGTCCAAAAATGCATTGTTTTCGAGTTATCGCCATTTTTATTTTGAAATTATAAATTATTTAACTTTCGAATCTTTTTTGTCAAAATTGAAAGAAGAGATGTTTATGAGTTTTATAACATAATTAAAGTCAAATAAAAGTTACAGGTTATGGGATGTTTATGAGTTTTACAACATAATTAAACTCAAATAAAAGTTACGGGTTGTTTTAGCACTACCTAGGATGCACCACGTGGAGATACAACCATCTTAGCATCAAACAAAGGGATGCACGTAGTGCATCCTGAGTAATGCTAAAGCAGTTCGTAACTTTAATTTGACTTTAATTATGTTATAAAACTCATAAAAACCATCTCTTCTTTCAATTTTGACATAAAAATTCGAAAGCAAAGCAATTTAAAATTTCAACATAAAAATGGCGATTATTCGAAAACAACGTATTTTCAGCTTATGTTTACAACAATTTTTTTCTTGTTTTTAAGTCTCCAATCATCTTCCGAGTAATTGACTTCCACTTTTAAAACACCCTGTATACATACATCTTAACTTTATCTCAAATTAACATTTATTATTTAGGTAATAAAATAAATGTGAAGAAACGTAATTTTTTTTATCAATAGTAGATTTATGAGTAGTCCCCTTGATGCACTATTGAGAATACACTCAGCTTTACAACCGCCTTAATTATCACTTTATGTCAATGTTAATAAAGATAATTATTAAAGGAATTCCGACAGGTGGTTGCCTAAGCTCTGATCCACAATCAAATATATTGAACAATGGTTGACTACTACAAAGTGCTCGAAGTGCAACGAACTGCTACTAGCAGTGACATCAAAAAGGCGTAAGTTCAAGCTATCCGTTAACTTAGTCTGTGTAGGTTTCAAGAAGCAAATCTTATGCAATAATGGTATACTCGCTTTATATACTCGCTCATCACTTATTTAATATACTCGCTCATTACTTCATCTTATGACTTATGCTATAATTCTAAACAGAATCGTAAGATTCGTAAACTTATTCTCGTAAAATTCGTAAGATCTTATGAATAGATCTATAATTCTATACATATCGTATATCATATGATCACTCGTAAATATCTACGATTTCATGTAATTTACGATATTTACAAGTAATCAATATATGGTATGCATAGAATTGTAGATTTACTCATAAGTTTTTACAAATTTTACGAGAACAAGTTACAAGACTTATGATTTAAAATTGCAGCATTGTTTAACATTATCGAATAATATCAGGTATCGTAAATTTATACTAACCAAACTTCTGTCGTATGTTTTGTAGGTATAGAAAGTTGGCCTTGAAATGGCACCCGGACAAGAATCCAGACAATTTGGAAGAAGCGAATAGAAAATTCAAGGAAATCTCTGAAGCTTATGAAGTATTAAGCGACGGTAAGTATTCTGACTTATTGATTAATCATTGACAATAAGATAGTCCTCCTGGATAGAATTCCTCCTGGATTTGCGAACGAAAATAGGGTTCTTTCATAATTGAGAATGTTATATCACTGAAAAATGTTTTTCATTGATATAGACGCACGATAAAAACGCACGTGATCCTGCAATGTATCAATATTTAATATCGTTAATTTTTGTAGAAACATCCGAATGTTTATTTTAATATTAACAGCTACGGGCTAAACTGCCGCTTTTTAGCAGGAACATCAACTAATAACTTTCTTCCGTGAATACAGATCGTAAATTATAGTTTCTAGACATTTGAACGAAGAAATGTGTTTGTTAGTAAAAAATAAAAAAGATCGGGACGATATAGAAAATCTTTCCAGATGTGAAGAGACGTACTTATGATCAACGCTTATATCAGAAGGCGGCATCAAGGCCTGGTCGTGGGTTCACCTTCCGGAGTTTCTTTGATTCTCCCTTTCAACGATACTTTGGTACCATTAAAAAGAAATGCAATTTGCAGAGTGAACAAAGCATTGTGTACTGTAGTTTTTTTTACTTTTTTGCCTTAATACTGTGCTACAGAGTACTTCGCGTCTCTTATCAAAAGAATTCAAATGCAAAATATTCAACGTGACAAGGACGAGAACGACTAAAGTATTTGAAATTAGTAATATTTCGGGAAATTGCACGAATATGCTCTGTCATTTATAATTTGTAATCATCTTCTGTTTACATGTGAAGACGATCTCGTCAAATATAATTTGTATTTTCGAAATACAATACTCCCGATATCACTCCAATTTCGTCATCTCTTTAAGAATGACAATATAAAAGATTTCACAAGTTTTCCCATCTAAAGTGTTATGCCAAATAATCATGCGTTGCTGTTAACCTTGCCTGCATTATATTGTCAGCGTGTGCTAACAGCTAGCAAATTATAACTAAATTGGAATTTATTCTCAATGAAATATCAAACTCGATTATATATATCGTAGTAAGTAATATATATTAGACTCTATGGTATACAATGAATCCTCTGGTAATAGTGTGCCGCTCTTTATAAAAATATTCCCTAGCGTTATATTCTACATTACCAGGCAAAATTGGACTAACCTTTCGCAAGTCTTGCGGAACTCGCTTGTTGAATTTTGATTAAAATGACCAGGAGTGAAATAGCGGGTTTGAGCTAAAAACTGACGTAATAATGACTGAAGTAATAATATCTTTGGAAATTTTCAGAAAAGAAAAGACGAGTTTACGATCAATATGGCAAAGACGGTCTTCAAATGCCTGGAGGTAAACGGCGCCATGGAGATGATTTCGATCCGCACTTCTCTGGCACATTTGTCTTTAGAGATCCCGAGGAAGTATTTAGAGAATTTTTTGATGGTATGCCATTCGAAGATTTGTTTTCCGGTAAGATCACTTGATCTATATCTCACCTATATCTCACTATCAGCCTATATCTCACTTGAAACGAAATACATTGAAATGGAAAATACTTGGAGCACAGCAAACGTACGTAATTGTTTTGATTCCCACAGGTTTTCATGGTGGCAGTTCCCGGAGAGGAGGTGCAAATAGACATAATTATTCTACTAGTAACAGTCTCAGTACTTCTTTCTTTGGCCCTTTTGGATTTGGATTCCGCTTACCGTTTGATGATTTACTGGAGAACGCCGGTGCTCCTACAAATTTCACTTCCTTCGGTACTTTCACCAGTTTCGACGGAATGAGTGGCGGCACTTCCATGAAACGTACCAGCACCTCGACTCGTTTCATTGACGGAAAGAAAATTACGACTAAAAAGTAAGTTATTTGTATTTTATATCACATATATAGAGTTCCCCATTTAAATCGATCCACACAATTTTCAAAACTATTGATGACATTGAAAATTTTCCAAAGATTAAATGCTTTCGAGAAAAATTAATAGTTTTTTAGAGGATAATTTACAGAGGAAACGTAGAAAAGTCAACTTTGTTTTTGCTAAATTCACATAGCATTTCAGTTTGTCTTAAATGATTTCCTCAGCCATATACCAGATTTTGCAAGATTAATAATTCTGCAAGAATTCTACGAAGAATTCTGCTGTATAAAAGCAAAAATATTAATTACTAATAAATAAAGATTAGCGACAATTATATAATGAGCATACAAATTGAGATACTGGCTGAAACTTCAAAGTTTTGGCCACTCTAAAAGAGTTTTTGTATAGTTTTGTATAGTTTATATAGTTCTAAGCATATTAAAACATTTTATAAAGAATTCTGAACATTAGCACATATAATATGGCATTATTAAAAAAAATTATTACATCTAAGTGTTGCGCACTTAGCAAGATGTGAGATGTTGACCAGAGTCTCGGAGTTCTGATTTATCCAAAATATTTCTTTACTAGATCTGAATATACTAAAGCATTTTCTAAAAAATTCTAGGCGGTAGTAATATTAGGACCTTAACTTAGTTTCCGCCCGCAAATGTTAGAT